CTGGCCATGGCTGATTAACTCAACTTCAGCCCCTTTTCCCCTCCCTGTAGGTTGGGGAGTGGGGTGAAAGTTCCAACCTTCTAATAACATGGTTGGTTCTCTGGTAACTAGCCTCCATCCCACAGCTGTTTAGTGGCCCACTAAGAGTCACCTCAAAAGGGGTTATGAAAAACAAAAGATGCTTCTCTCACCAGTCACTCAGGAAATTCTAAGAGTTCAGGAACCCTGTTCCAACAACTGGGAACAAGGACCAGATATGTATTTCTCATTATATCACAGTATCACATATAAGCAATATGCCTGTAAATAAGTTGTCTCTTATGTAGACATTCTCACTATTTATAATATTACTTTCCAGTGAGGGAGCCGTATAACATACTAGTTGGGAGCATTGATTCTGGAGGCAGGGAGCCTGGGTTCTAAACCTGGCTCTGCCATTTATTGCTTGTGCTTAAGTTTTCTTATCTGTAAAATGAGTGTAATAATACCTATTTCATAAAGTTGTTATAAAAACTAAGTAAGTTAATATTTGTAAAGTGTTCAATGACTTGTACATAAGCACCATATGTTAAATAAATGAATCATATAATCTAATGTCTTATTTTCCACAGATTATAAACTTTTTAAAGTCAATGACTGTACCTTCTCCACGTTATATAAATCCTCATAGTACCTAGTACATAGAAAATACTTGGTAATCATCAGAATAGCCTCCTAGAAGAAAATGAAATGGAGCCTCAGAATATCTAGAGGTCAGGAATCTATGCTAAGAAGAATTTGGAAAACCTTAGCTAGTTTAATCTATAGAAGGGGAAAAGGGTAATTCATCAATTTGAATATAGCAGTTACCTTTTTATTAAGGAATAAGAAGCTTTCATTCTCGGGGTGGGGGGCAGCAAGGACCATGTAAACTTAAAAAATATTTGTGAATAAAAATAACCCTATTGGGGCGCCTGAGTGGCTCAGTCGTTAAGCGTCTGCCTTCAGTTATGATCCCAGGGTCCTGGGATCGAGCCCCGCACCGGACTCCCTGCTCGGCGGGAAGCCTGCTTCTCCCTCTCCCACTCCCCCTGCTTGTGTTCCCTCTCTCGCTGTCTCTCTCTCTGTCAAATAAATAAAATAAAATCTTAAAAAAAAAAAACCCTATTGATTCTATTATATCTGTTCTGTGGCAGAGAAATCTATTTTTGTTGACTCTCGGAGAGGACATAGGGAAGAGAAAATAGAGACCGTTTTTCTACTCCGACATAAATTCAATGAAAGTTCTATATAGATTTTCCACAGATGGGACACTTGAGTTCATTAATAGTGTACAAAAATACACATATAGTCCCTTCCTCTGACCCCTAGGTTATAACTTTAGTAGATAATATAAATGTAAGTGTAAACTGAATAATAACAAGGTAAATCACACTTTCTTGCCATCATGGAGTGGTTTAATGTTTAAGACTGAATATCCTAAAAACTTAAGAAGCTATTAAATTTTGACATTGAACCATATGATATTATAGCTAATGCTTACTGCGTTGACAGGACATGTCTCTCTCCAAAAAAAAGATTTTTGTAATGTCCTATAGGATCTGTGCCATTGTGGATTTTTATAAAGTTAGACTAAATGTATCTGAATGAAAACAAAATCTGAAAAAATGTTGACCGTGAATCAAGTTACTGTAAACAGGCAATTTAAATAAATTATTTCTACATTACATTTAGAGTAGATCATACTATGTTCCCTGACTCCTTTTTGTTCTCTATTTGCACTTGAGCTTAGCCAAAGGCTAAGAAGCAATTATAAATTCTCTCTTTGGAAAGAAATTTATCTTGATGGTGAGTCCAAGGAAAAACCTAATACTGACTTTGTTTAGCGTCCCTCAGTGAATTTGAAAAAGAATTAATTCCTATAGTTGGTGACCACTGAAAAATAGCCTAAATAGAAAAAGAACCTAAAAAGCAAATTGTATGAAAAGAATGTAGCAGTCTGGAGACAGAGGATTAAAATGAATACCAGCGATCAGAAATTGGGGGGGGTCTAAATTTCAGGGCAAAAATGAACTTTAATGGGGTTTCTTTTTGGAGTGATTAAAATATTCTGGTATTAGAAAGTGATGGTGGTTGCATAACCTTATGAATATACTAAAAGCCACTGAATTATACACTTAAAGAGGATAGAGTTTGTGGTATGTGAATTATATATCAATTTTTAAAAAATGACCCTGGGGGCACCTGGGTGGCTCAGTTGGTTAAGCATCTGACTCTGATTTCGGCTCGGGTCATGATCTCATGGGTCATGGGTTTGAGCCCCGCATCAGTCTCTGTGCTCAATGGGGAGTCTGCTTGGGATTCTCTCTCCCTCTGTCCCTACCCCCCACTCTTATGTGTGCGCATGCTCGCTCTCTCTTTAAAAAAAAAAAAATGACCCTCACTGTGGGGGAAGTGCTAGTTGGGCTCATGTGGCATGGGGTAGGACCCCAAGCAGGGGGAGTAGAGCATTTGTGTGCAGGGTGGCAGTGAGCAGCAGTGACATTGTATTTGAAGGTGGAACAGATTAAGTAAGGATAGTGAGAGATGTCTTACTGTTGGAGAACAAGTTTACAACTTTGGGAAAAAAAAGTTTGGGGAAAAATAAAACCTAGAATTAACCTTATGGTACTAAATTGGAATTAGAGCATCACCAGGAACTTTTGGGGGGTGTGTTTGTGTACAGATTTACAAATGAATATAAGGATATGTGACTGTTGTATATATGTATATATGTATGTATGTGCATGATTATACTGCCTGCCTCTGTCCCAGTGGACCTGGAGGACAGTAGCATCCTAAAAGCAGTGAGCATATATGATATTCTAAATGCCTTTCCCCACTAAAAAGAACCAGGGCTTCTTGGAAAAGCATCTGATTCTACGGCTAGGGCAGGGGAAGTAAAAGATGAGCCTGGAACATCTCTTACTTTCCCAAAGAAAAGAAATGCTCAGAAGATGACACAGGTGTGTCAAAAGGTTACAAGAGCCAAACTGAAAGGGCTTACCCTGGCCAAATCTGGGACAGTTGAAACAACAACATAAATAATGATAGTAACAGATTATAACTCATTGAATATATAGGAATCACTGAGTTCAGATAAATAGATAAGGAAAAGAAACTAAGCTGTAGAAAGAATGATGGGTTTAGAAAAAACACTATTTGGCATGGTAGTAATTAGTTCAACCAAGAAACATTAGTGAATGCTAAAAGACAGTGGGCAAAATTTCATTGAGGAGAGAGTCAGACTGATAATTTTACACTAACAGTGTCCATACTATCATTATTCATAATATCCAACAGATGGAAACAACCCCCAAGTCTGCAACATCAGTTGAATAAACTATGGCAATATACATACAATGGAATATTATTTATTCATAAAAAGGAATGAAATTCTGATGCATGCTACAACATGGATGACCCTTGAAAACATGCGCAAAGTCAGATAGGCAAGACATAAAAAGACAAATATTGTGTGGTTCCACTTATATGGTACCGAGAATAGGCAAATTCATAGAGAAAATAGGATAGAGATTAGCTGGGGCTAGTAAGAGGGGGGAATGGGAAGTTTTTATTTAATGGGTACAGAGTTTCTTTGGGGGAAGATGAAAAAGTTCTGGAAATGGACAGTGGCAGTGGCCATACAGCACTGTGAATGAACTTAATGCCACTGAATTGTACATGTAAAAATGGTTAAAATGGAAAATCTTGGTATATATATTTTATTGCAAACATATTTTTTTAATTTAAAAATTTGTTGAGAAGTAGGATGTATTTACACAGACCCAAAATGTCCCTCCACAACATACTTATTAATTACAAAGGGAAAAAGTGTAATTTTAGAGCCACAAAATCTAGCAAACACTACTATAACAAAGTGATCTAAGTTAACAGCATCACTTTTGTGATAGTCCTGCCAAAAATGCATAACTTAAGTCAAATCATAAGGTAACAGGAGATAAATTCGAATTGAGGGACATTGTGCAAAACAACTGGCCTATAATCTTCAGAAGTGTCAAGGTCATGAAAGTTAAGAAAAGACTGATGAGCTGTTCCAAATTAAAAGAGATAAAAGAGAACTGAGAATGAAATGCACTGCCTAACCCTGAAATGGATCCTTTTGCTAGAAAGCACATTACTGGGACAAAACTTAAATGGGATCCGTGGGTGTGATCATAATAATGCCAAATGTTAGTTTTCTGAGGTCTGTGCTGTTGCTGTCATTATGTATGAGAATGTCCTTGTTTATAGGACTCTAACTGGGGATGATGGGACATCATGTTTATACTTTCAAAGGTTAAGGGAAAAAAATGTTCTTTATACTATTCTTGAAACTTTTTTATAAGTTTGAACTAATTTCAAAATCTTTTGAAAAAAGAGGGGCACCTGAGTGGCTCAGTCGTTAAGCATCTACCTTCAGCTCAGGTCATGGTCCCAGGGTCCTGGGATCGAGCCCCACATCGGGCTCCCTGCTCCGCGGGAAGCCTGCTTCTCCCTCTCCCACTCCCCCTGCTTGTGTTCCTTCTCTCGCTGTGTCTCTCTCTGTCAAATAAATAAAATCTTAAAAAACAAAAAACAAAAAAATCTTTTGAAAAAAGAATATTTACACAAACTTTAAGAGAAAAGAAAAAGATAAAAGAACCTGAATGAAGGTGGGGATTGTGGCAGGAGCCATGTCCCAAGACCAGGACTGAATTGGAAACCTAACTGCAAAAGAAATAGGAAACATCTTCTATTCAGTAAATTACAAACATTCTCTCAAACCCAGGTTTCAAGTAGATACATTGAGGATAATCCGAGTAAACGATATATCAATTATAATATGCAAAAGTGGGAAAATCAGCTTCTAGGCAGGGATCTGGTAATTTTGGATTTAGAATGAAAATGAAGGGAATGACCAAATTCAATGTAAGAATAGTTGCAGGACAAGGCCATTTTATTTTGAAAGATTCATGTGTTTCAATGTCTGCCTGTTATAGGTGATGCTGAACAGGAACTTGGTCCCCCTCCATCTGTAGATGAAGCAGCAAACACACTCATGACTCGTCTGGGTTTCCTCCTTGGAGAGAAAGTGACGGAAGTTCAGCCAGGTGACCAATACACCATGGAAGTACAGGATGAAAATCAGGTAAACTGCTTGCTGTCACCTGCGAAACGTGGAATAAATCAGCCTATATTATACAGGAAAAATGTTGCAGGGTGTGTGTATGTGCGTATCCCAGTTGTTGAATAACTTTTGAGGCCTGAAGATATAGCTTAATTTTCCATCATCACTGTATTTCTTTAGTTTATGAAACACCTTTTAGTTTCATTCTTAGGTTTAAAAGGCCACTTTAAAGTTTTGATTCATTTATGGAATGAATGAGGAAGTAAATAATGCATAAGCCAAGAAACAGAATTGACATTTATATGGGCACTGTACCCAGAAATTATAGAATATACATCATTTTCAAGTACATGTGGATTATTTACCAAATTGACAATATGCTGACCAGGTCTCAGTAAATTTCGGATTACAACTACTGTGATCATAGTAGAATTAATCAATTACAAAATGATAACCTTGAAAATGTTAACTACAAGGTAATTTAGAAAATCCCCCAAATGTTTGGCTATTAATAAACTTCTAAATAGCCTTTCAGTCAAAAAAGAAATCACAAGAAATTAGAAAATATTTTAAACTGAAATAATAACGAAATATAACAATTTATAGTATGTATTTGTAGTATATAAAACTTAGAGTTAAAGAGGTACTCAAAAATTTTTAGTTTTTTTTTTTTAAGATTTTATTTATTTGACAGAGACACAGTGAGAGAGGGAACACAAGCAGGGAGAGTGGGAGAGGGAGAAGCAGGCTTACTGCGGAGCAGGGAGCCCAGTGTAGGGCTCAATCCCAGGACCCCAGGATCATGACGTGAGCCGAAGGCAGACGCTTAACCGGTTGAGCCACCCAAACGCCCCCAAAATTTTTAGTTTTGAATATATATATTAGAAAAATGAAAATCTGAAAAATTATCTAAATATTCATGTCAAGTTAAAAATTATCAACAATTTGAAAAAAATTTTCTTTCATAGATTTTTCTTTCTTTTAGCTATTTTTTAGTTTAAATGTAGCAAAGGAAGTAGACTCAAATTCATTTGTGTGGTCTTCATCTTTAAAATGTATGTCCTGTAGTGAATCCTTTTATTCTAGAAGATGACAATTTGAGTTCGTTTTGTCTATTCTTAACAAATATTTGTGAAGATTCTATATCCTATGTTAGTTTTGTCATAAAATAATAGTCTTCAAGGATTATTTGGACATATTTATAGATCATGTGGATAATGTTCAGGTGTTCTGGAGCTTTCTCCTGAGACTTCTCTACATCCTCATTCCCTCAGTCATTGGTTTTGCTGGCTGCACATTATAATCACATTATAATTACAGTTTTTATAGAATTCAGATGCCTGGAGATTCTAATCATATTGAAACTCCTCCGTTCTTTTTTTTTTAAATACTCTTAACTCCTGAATTGCCTCTGGCCCTGCCTTTCCCCTGAACTCCAGTATATTTCCAGCTACTCCCTTTGCTACGTGTGTGTCCAAGATGCAGCTCAAACCTAACATGTCAAAAACTGAAGCCTTACATTTTTTTCCCAGAACCTGCTCCTTCTGCAGTGTTTTCTCTCAGAGTAGTTTGTATCACCTTCGTGCTTTGGACAAAAGCATTGGAGCCATTCTTGAGTTTTCTCTGTCAGATTACACATTCACTCTTTCAGCAAATCGTATAGGCTTTGTCTGCAAAGTATATTCTGAATCTGCTCCCTTCTCTTTACTTCCACGGCTACACCTGAGTCCACGTCACTGTCCTCTCTTGTCCGGGCTACTGCAATGGTTACTGGACTGTAAGGCCTGGAACTTTTGCCTGTTCTCGCTACTGCCATATCCTCTGCATCTAGAATAGGGTCTAGCATTGGTAGGTGCTCAGTAAATATTTACTGAATGAATAAATAGCCTCCTCATAGGTCTCTGCTTCCACTCTTGCTCCTCTGTAGTCTGTTCACACAGTAACCAGAGTGATCCTTGTAAAATATGGATCTGATCTTTTTGCTTCTGTGCTCTCAATCTTCCACTGTTTTCTCATCACATTTAGAATTAAATCTGAAATCTTTAGCATGGTCAGAAAGGCACTGCCTGGTCTGACCCCTTGCTACTACCTCTCCTACACTGCCTACCCCCCTCCCTTTCACCTGCAGCTCTGCAGTGACACTGACCTTCTGTCGTTCCTCTGACACAGAACATTCCTTTAGTACTGGAAAGCGCTTCCCGCATAACTCACTTGCTCACTTCATTCAGTGCTCTGCTCAGATGTTCCGGGAAGCCTTCCTTAACTGCTGTTTCTAATAGCCACTGCCCACCTCTATACCCCCTTATACTGCTGCTTTATTTCCTTTATAACTCTTAACCATTAATTTATTGCACTCCATATTTAGTTGTGAGTTTTTGTTTTTGTTTTCTTGTCTGTATCTCATACAAGAGTGTAAGCTTCATGATGGCAGGGATTGATGGTTTTTTTTTTTTAATCAGTAACTGTGTTGGTATGCTATGCCCTGTGAATAAAAAAATGGGAATGATATATGCTGAGGGCCTTTTTGATATTGGTATAAGTAAAACATCCATTTTTATTTTTTACTTTTTATTTCTTGATATTCATGTAAAGTTAAAATGTGACTATTCTAGTGATGACCAAGGAACATGATGTTACAGTATGAGTATTTGCCAAAGATCCTGTTGTTTCTAATAATAGAAAAGTCACTTACATTTGTGGTGAGCAGAGTATAACATAAACTACTTCAATTAAAAAAAAGAAAGAAAGAGAAAAGTCCCTGAACGAGGAAGTAGAAAATCTGTGCCCTACTTCCAATTCTACCCCGTATGACTTTGTAAAATCAGACATTCACTTAACCTCTCTGAGCTTTAGGTTTTTCATAGGTAATAACAGCTGACATTTATGAAATGCTTCCTACATGCTAATCGTTGTACTAATTGTTTTATTTGTACTATTTTGCTTAAGCTTCCTTATACCCCAGTGTGGTAGGGTCCATCGATATTCCAGATTTCAGATAAAAAAGTGGAAACACAGTGCCACAAAGTGATGGAATAGTATTCAAATCCAGACAGTCTGCTTTTACAACCTCTGTTCTTAACAGTTGCACCATACCATTTCAGTGTAATATGAAATAATAATACCTGACAGGATTGTTGTGAGGATCAAGGTAAATCACGAATATGAAATTACTTTGTAAGCTGTAAAATGCCATATAAATAAAAGGTGTAAAATACTATGCAGTATAATTAGTATATAAATATATTGCAAGAACTATGATTTGGGGAAATTATTTGATAGCTTTCATTCTTTAGGGCAGTTTCTTATTCACATTTCTTAATGGGGGAAATAGTACTCATTTGCCTTATACTTGGTTGAAAAGGAGTAAATGAAATAATATTAAATTTTTTTAAACTGTAAAGCATTGAACAAATGTAAAATACTATTAGTGATTGCCTTCTGGGAATATAATATACCATGAAACTATCTTGGAACCACAGAAGGAAGTGACTAAATTGATCATTGGAATTTCTAGTCTTAGGAAGGTTATTAAGAATTAGGAGGTCATGTTCGTTTGGTGACTTTCTTCCGAACTAAACAGCGTGCTAACAAAGGTAGATTTCTTTGTTTAGGAAGGCCTGAGGGTAATAGCATCCTCAGAATTATACTAGAAAGGACAGAATCCAGCACAGGCAAGTCACATGTATCGTTTTTCTACAAAAGACAAAGTACTGAAAGTAATATTCAACCAACCACTATATTTTCTTCACTCGGTAATTTCTGGAGTGGTAGGATATACTTTAGGAATTCCATCATCAGGTTCTTACCTTGAATAATTGTAGAACCTTTAAGAGACCTTTAGGAAGGATCCTTTGGGATCCTTCCAGAGAACACAATGGAAAAACCACTGAAAGATTTTATAAGTGGTGTGGTTTAATTAGAGGTCCATTTTAGCTTAAAGCATGGAGAATGGTTAATGTTATCTTTCGGTGTCTAGAAGAGATTTCTATATCCCATTAACTAGCTTCCTTAAATAAAGAGGAGGCCTGCTTTTTAATTCATAAGCCATGAGCAAATTTCTCCTTTCTAAACGGCTTGATCTTTAAGCTTTGCTTTTACAGTTAAAGGTTTTAAAGCATACATTCTGTGATACAAGCTTTATTTTGTAGAAAACAACTTGTAGTAAAAATAGTGTCTTTTGGGCTTAACCTCCACATTGGCTGTATTATGTATATAATAGTTTCCTTTCTCAAAGAACAGACTGAGAATCTTGTCTAAAAATGGAAATGAGTTGCTATGGAAGTAATAGATTCAGATTCATACTAAAATGGAACTTTTTCAATATGGAATGACTATAGATATATTTAATGTAAAAAAAAAACCCTAGTATAGTTCATTTCATCTACCCACATATTTTTTTAAACTGAGAGTGAGGAGGTTAAAAATTGCCATGTTAGATTCTAACTAGGGAGGATTCTAATTCAGTAAGTCTGGGGTGTGGGGCTCTGCATTGGGGAGCTTGCTTTTTTACATTCCATAGGTGATTCTACTACATGCCCAGTTAAAACTCATTGCTTTGGTAGGCCAACATCATTTTATAAAAATAGAGGAGATTACAAAGAAATTGAAACTCCCCCCTCCTCTGGAGAAAAAATGTAGGTAGAAGAGAAATGGCATAGATCAGAGGGCTTATGGTATGACTAACAAAAATCAATTCCTAATATTATTAATGTGGTTGAAAAGATTTGCTTCATTGCAAGGTTCTGAGAATGTCACTTTTGCTTTAAGTTGAATATAGCTTTTATGACCTAGTTATAGCATTTAAATTAAAATCAAAAACTGGATTCAACACATGTGATTAAATACAAGGGAGTGTATCTAAAACTTATTTTAGGATGAGTAAAAGAGCCTTAATTTTCTCATATTTAGTGATTAACACATTTTCCAGTCAAGTTGTTAAATGTAAATCTTCAATTTTAGTGGAGAGAATGTGACTAGTGACTCTATAGGTAAAGAAGTTGAAAGGTTTCTTTTATTATTTTATTTGTTTGTTTGTTTGTTTATTGTTAATCACCATACATAACATCATTAGTTTTTGATGTAGTGTTCCATGATTGTGTATAACACCTAGTGCTCCATGCAGAACGTGCCCTCTTTAATACCCATTATATCATTATTCTTCCTTCAAGTAATTTTGTTACTGATCATTTACCATTTTAAGAAGGATAAAATTCTTTTAGTATTTGAAAAAAATATATACTTTTATTCATTATTTTGGCAATTTATTTAGGTAGAAAGGGCTAAAGAAAAGTGGATTTTCATTAAATTAGGGAAGCCAGGATATATTGCCACCAATCTTTTTGGTGATTATTCATTCCTTCCTGTCAAAAACTAAACTGAGGTGACCTCAGATATAAGAATCATTCAAGATACAAAGCAATCTCAGCCTATAATCAGTTTCTACAGAGAAATTATTAAGTTTTGCTTTAAATGAACATTGTTTTTGATCTATTTTTTAGATAGACTTTTAGGATAAGGCATTTTCTCTGCATTCATTTATGTCTCAGGGCAGCCACCTATGTATCGAAAAAAATGCTTATTTGCATTAGAGCCTTATTTTTATTTCACCTTGGCTGCAGATTTTTTTTTTCAATCCAAAGAAAAGTATTAACAAGACTAAGTTCTAAGCCTTCAGAATAGTTTTATTGATAGGAAAAAGCAAGGACAACTTGCAGTTAATTAAAAATCCTTCTATGAATTCATAGCAGTGATAAAGAATATTTGTCACTAGAAATTTCTTAGGTGGAAAAACCGGCCACAGTCTCTGTTTGTGTTAAATTTATCAAGTTGCACCTTAATTGTATGATGCAGAATCTCTTATCCTAGAAGGCAAAAAACAACTAGTACCTAGTAGATGTAAAAGCTATGTATGTAGATTTTGTCCTTTTTCTCATCAAAGCATATGTTTTGCCATAAGATACAGTTTACTTTAACAGCAATCAGTTTATCTTGTTTTTCATTCCAATTTTTCAGACCTCAGCAATCACGCAACGGATAAGTCCCTGTTCCACCTTGACTAGTAGCACTGCCTCCCCACCAGCCAGCAGCCCCTGCTCCACCCTCCCGCCAGTCAGTTCAAATGCAACTGCCAAGGATTGCAACTATGGGGCTGTAACTAGTCCAACCTCTACCCTTGAAAGCAGAGATAGCGGCATTATTGGTGAGTTGATTTTTACATTAATCATTTTGCAGGGTTTTTTTCTTTTTAAAATAATTACATATTTTCAAAAATTCTGTGTTTGAATTGTTGAGAGAGATATATATAGAATGTGTCCTTTTCTTTTTAATGATGCTGGAGAGAGAAATAAAGGTAAACAAAATGAAAGCTATTCCCTCCCTGCTTAACCACTCCTTTAAAGATATTACCTGACAAAAGGAGGGGTGGATAGAAAAAGTTTTGTCTACTTCTCCCTGTAAATTCATCTATCTGCCAACAGAAGTGGTTCAGAAAATGTTCATTCCTCACTGAACTAGTAGAGTTTGATGGAGGTTCTTAGTTCTTCATATATGTATTGCTTATTGTATACTTATTAAGGGGAGTCAGTCAAATGGAAATGAGTGAAGTTTTGGGAAATGAGGAATCTGAAGAAAGGGAATGCACAGAGAAGAAAACAGGAATGAGCACAGAATCTTAGGCATGTTCAAATTGAGCAGGAAATTGGAGGTGGGAGAATGAGCCAGTGGACAGGAGTAGTCAGACAAATAGAAGAATTGGAGCAAGGCCAAAGAAGATAAAAGGTTCAGGGAAGGGATGAGGAGAGGTTGGTCAACAAATGACAAAAGCTGAAAAGGCCAGGCATAAAGAAAATATTTCTTCCTCATTTGGCTTCCTTCTAAAAGTTATCAACTAAAAATATTTATTTATTTAGATGGGATAGCAGATATTAATGCCATGGCAACTAAATCTATCTCTACTACTTAAATGCATATATATCAACATGTGAATTTATTCATTTAAAATAAGTATTAAGTAAATGAAAAGAATAGTTTTTAAAGATTTTATTTATCTGCGAGAGAGAGAGAGAACGCACAGGTGAGCACAAGTGGGGAGGAGAGGTGGAGGGAGAGGGATAAGCAGACCCCCCGCTGAGCAGGGAGCCTGTCGTGGGGCGCAATCCCAAGACCTTGAGATCATGACCTGAGCCAGAGGCAGATGCCCAACCCACTGAGCCACCCAGGTGCCCTGATGAAAAGAATATTTTTACAGCAAAGTTGCAGGATACAAAATGAACACACAAAAACCAGTTGCATTTCTACATGCTAACCATGAACAATTCAAAAAGAAAATTAAGAAGACAATTCCATTATAATAACATCAAAAGGAATAAAATACTTAGGAATAAATGTAACCAAGGTAAAAAAGTTGTACACTAAACAGTACACTAAACTAAGACAAGTACACTAGACACAAAATATTGCTTAAGAAATTTTAAAAGATTTAAATAAATGAAGATATATTCTGTGTTCATGGATTGGAAGACTTAATATTGTTAAAGTGATAATATTTCTCAAAGCAGTCTACAGATTCAGTGAAATTACTATCATAATCCCAACAAAGTTCTTTGCAGAAATAGAAACACCGATCCTAAAATTCATGTGGAATCTCAGAGGACCCTGAGTGGCTAAAACAATCTTGAAAAAGGAGAACAAAGTTCTCCTTTAGTAGGATTTGTGATTAAAATAATCTGGACCTGATAGTCATGAAGATTTTTTTAACTTTTTTTTTTTTAAGATTTATTTATTTTACTTTTGAGAGAGAGAAAAAGAGTGGGTGAGGGGGAGAAAGAGAGAGAGAGAGAGAGAGAGAGAAAGAGAGAGAGAATCCCAAGCAGACTCCCCACTGAGCACGGAGCCTGCCTCAGGGCTTGATCCCACGACCCTGAGATCATGCATGACCTGAGCTGAAACCAAGACTTGGACACTCAACTGACTGTGCCACCCAGGCGCCCCTAACTACTGCTTCATTGTATTTAATACTATAGGACTTTCTGTGTTTCTCTTTCTTTTTGAATCTGTTTTCCTTCGTTATGGTTTTTATCTTTTTCAAATTTACTGGTATAAAGTTGTCCAAAATATTCACTACCTACACCAGGAACCTGAGCTAGAGAGCTAAGAGGAGTCCGTCCTTCCCCCATCCAAATTTCTCATCCTTGGATTTTATTTTCATCTTTCTTAGTATTGTCTTGGCAGTCCTCATTATCTTAGACTTAGATTAATACAAATGTAACTGTTATTTCTGCTTTTCATCTTGTCCTTTCTGTTTTTTTACACAACAGGTCTGTTTTTTTACACAACCACCAAAATGAATTAACTGAAAACCAATTACTCCTTTGATTCCATTACCTAGAAGGTGATAGTGAACTACCTGAAAATCAAATCTGATCATATCACTCCTTTGACTCCCATTTACCTATAAAATAAAGCCCAGACCCTCCTGATCTGACCATGGCCAATTTCTCCAGCCTTCTGTCCCACTGTTTCTAGCCCTGTATGTATTGTTCTAGCCACATTAGACTTTATTGTTACCTGATGCATTTCAGTTTTTTCCTCTTTGTGCTTTTGCTCATATTGACCATTCTGCCTGTAATCTCTCTCTTACATATGAATGACTCCTGTGGATTTTTTAAGACTTTGTTAAGTATTCTGCCACTACCACTACCACCACCTCCCTTCAATTTTCCACTCCAACTCCTACTCAGTATATTCTTACTCCATGTTCCCAGTAACACCTGAGCATATAGATGTCATGGCATTTAATGTGTGGTATAGTAATTAATTTTTGAACCTGCTTTCCACCATTCAACTGTTAATTTCTTATTAGCAGAAACTTTGCCTTACTCATCTGTATCTGCAGCACCTTGTTCAGTAACTGGAATGAGGTAGCACTCTTGGTGCTTAGGTAAATGTTTACAAATGAAAGGAGAGCTGAAGGGGAGAAGGAGTGGGGCCTGGCAACTTGCATTCTTTTTTTGATAGTGCTTAGAGTGACCATTAGATACAAGATAGGTATTAGATTTATTAGATTTTGAACAAATAGAGATTAGAATTCTCCATTGACTAATTTTGTTCTCTTAAATTCTCTTTATGATTAATTTTAGCAAAATGACTTTTTTTTTTAAGATTTTCATTTATTTGACAGAGAGAGACCCAGCGAGAGAGGGAACACAAGTAGGGGGAGTCGGAGAGGGAGAAGTAGGCTTCCAGCCGAGCAGGGAGCCCAAGGCAGGGCTCCATCCCAGGACCCTGGGATCATGACCTGAGCTGAAGGCAGACGCTTAACAACTGAGCCACCCAGGTGCCCCAGCAAAATGACTTTTATAATCCCAGCCACTCTTCTTCTTGGGTTCTTCTGTTGATATTGTTAGAGTGCCTATCATTGCATATCCTCTGTGTTGCCATATATAAAACATAGCTTTAGATTGTGTTCATCCAAGCAGAAGGGATGGTGCTGGCAGATCAGACAAAATCTGCTTACAAGTAGTTACCTGTCAAAGGGAAAACCTAACACATCAGTGAATGTTCAAGGTAAATGTTCGTATGTTCTGAAAATTAAAAATGGGATCCTGCTTTGAATTACAGCTGGCAGTGTTTCTCTGTTTTTCTGATAAATTTCCAGAATTGTGTTCCTTGTACCATAAGTGCCTTTGTGGATAATAGATCTAATTTAAAGAATGATGAACTTCCATTCTTTAATGTGTATAAATACTGAAACATTTTCTTGCAAAATTATGAGAGAAGAATGAAAATAATATCTGGTCATCAAATTACTTCAACTGTAGAACAGTTAACAAATTATATATGAGCAGTTTATCTTGAGAAATGTTTTGTTTCTCTTTGGTTTTTATTTTTTTAATGCAATTTGAGTTGGAAGAAAATTGAATATGGCATAAGTAATAATAGTCAAAGATACTGAGATACTGTTATTACCTTGGAAATCTCACGACTGACCTACCTTAACTGTTAAATATGCTTTCTTTTAAGTATTTTCCCCTCTGATTATACAAACACCTGCTTTTCCAAATCTCATATTGCTTGCATTATTTCAAACAAAAACTTCCAAGATGGTCTGTTTATTAGTGCTCTGTATTTAAATCCTGCCCTATTAGCAAAATGCACAAAAGCTATTAAATGTTTTAATTTATGCATTTTAAATTCCTTTATAGGTCAGTTCAGTGTGATCCTTTGTGATGCACTGCATTTTCCACTTAACAACTATCAGAATTTTAGCCATTCATGTGTCTGACTGTATCACTCATATGATTTGCCAAAATGTATAGAATCCTAGTTATAAGATTCAGAATACTAGAAATGCAGACTTCCTGAAAAAATTTTTAAGTATTCTAAATATAAAAAGTTGCTCTCTAGGGTTCTAAAAGATTTTAAATAACTGTGACTTATTTGATTCTGTGTAGTCTGGATTCACCCCTGATGTGAGTTAATTTCTACCACAGAAAGCATTCTCTGTTCCAGTCATAGCTTCCCTCCCCCAATTCATAACCCTTCTTAAACAGGTGGTGAAACATCACCAACACAGTTGTCAGGTATTTGTATGGTAATTTTATATCTGTGCCTCTCTTTTTTAATTTTATGGGTATAACTCTAGTAGTGTAACAGTCTTATGTATGTGCCTAATAGATGATACCACTAATGATATATAATCTATCAGCTAGATCTATCTATCTATCTGTATAGCTTCAAGCAAAAATCTTGATAGTTGTAACCTCCGTGAGAGATCATCTTTCTATCCTATTCCTTTTTCATATTAAGTTTTAATAATAGTCCTTTTTGGTATGGTTATGTAGCAAAATGAATTTAAGCATGGGTCCATTTTGTTTCTCCTCTTGTTTATCTGGAGGTCACAGTTCTTTCCAGAATGGTATAATTGTTGAATTATTTCTTTTAATCAAATACCAGAATGTTTTTAAGTACTAATTTTGTTGCCAAATTTGGTCTTCTATCCTCTAGCCTTGTATCACTTAGCACCTACAAAGATGGAGTATCTGACTGTGCCCATTGTTTGTGATTATATTTTCCTAATGTTTCACATTAGTAAGTAAAAGAACCAGTACTAGACTGGCAACCCCAGAAACAAGCATAGGGCTGGCCCAGTCTAGTTGTAAAATAATTCTGTCTTATATAATAGTGTAATAATCTTCCTTA